TGCAAATGAATGGAAATGGGACAGAAGCGTTCGCCAATCGTCGTGTCTACATACACTCCACAATACATCCCCAATACAGCCTACCCCTGTCTGCGAACGGAAGGCAAAACGATGTTTTCGATCATGCACTGTTTTCACATGATAGTTAAATGGAGGTTGGATGGGATGGGATGGGATGTGTAGGATAGATGAATAGTTGTGACTATTCGAACTTGCATTCAGGACAAACAAACAAACAAAATCGCACAATGTCATTCACACGTCAAGCGAAAGCACACAAACAAACAGGTGTCGAATGAAGCCACAGACAGACAGCTAACAAACTGGTCGATAGATAGACAGACAGACGGTCAACCAGGTCGCCGGCTGACTGACTGACTGACTGATTGACTGGATGGAAAGCAGTCAAATGAAAGGTAAGTTTTTTTTCAATCGAAAGCAAGGCTAGAAAAACACGTGACATGTCAGTCTACAGTGCTGTGCAAAATGACCGCGATCGACGAAAACAAAATAGACACACACGCACGCACAAGTTTTCATCCAGCAATGATGTCGCTTTCTATCCATACGATTAATTGGTTTTCCAGGTTCACAAATACACACGCACACAATGTGGGTTGAACTGAATGATTTCCGGCAAATCACGGTCTCTTGCACCCTTGCACCCGGGTCAGGTTCTGCGTGATGATGTGTGCGATGAATGGGTTGTGGGAGTGCTATGGGTCGAAGTTATCCCGCTTGTCGTGCTATGGACTGGTACATGCACGTGTTGTCTGGTTCGATATCCACGAAATGTGGCCTGGATTTTGGTCGCTGCTTCAGCCGGATCTGTGTAGTGGCTGGTGGTTCGAGCCTCAGTGTGCCGAGTGCTATCCGCCCGACTGGTGTACTCTTTACCGGTCTCGTGTAGGTGTTTACGTGTTACAAAACCCCGATAGGCTGCCTGAATTCGAGTTGCCGCTTGTTCCGCATTCTCCTTATTCACTTGACCATGGGTGTACGAGTTTGTGTCGTGGGATCGTGGGGAATGTAGGTGTTTCCGAGTCTGATAACCACGGAATCCAGCCTGAATAATGGTAGCTGCTTTGTCAACCTCGGCCGGATCACGTCCATTGGAATAGGGTTTGGTTAAACCAGGACCAGTGGTGTATGGGTTGCAATTCTGTGCCCGTAGTGGGGACTTTGTGTCGTGCGGATTTGAGTCATGCTCATGCAAATGACGCCGTGTCTGATAGCCCCGAAAAGTAGCTTGAATACGGGTTGCCGCATAGTTCGGATCTGAGTGAATGTCAGTCGAGTGCGAGTGAGTAGATTCGCGGTGCCCGGTCGTGGTTCCCGGGTATTTGTGTTGCTCTTTCAGTTCACGTCGTGTACGATACCCGCGAAAACCGGCTTGAATTTTGGCCGCGGCCAAATCCGGCGGAATCGAATGATCTGTGTGCGAGTGGTGGACGAGCGAGTGCTCGGTCAGGGGAAAACCTTGTTCGTGCAAATGTTTTCGTGTTTGATAGCCCCGATAACCTGCTTGTATTCGTGTTGCCGCCGTACCCGGGGTGAGCTCATGAACTCGATCCGTTGCGCGTGGATTGCGTGGGATGACGGTTGCCGCACTCGTTGGTGTGTGGGTATGGGTGTGATGCACGGTTTGATGTGCGGTGTGATGAGTTGTGTGAGTCAATTCCGGGTGGGTTTTTCGGAAATGATAACCACGAAATCCGGCCTGGATTCTCGCAGCAGCCAAGTCCGCGGGGAGGTTGATGGGGGTCACGGTGGTTGTGGTCGTGGTGGTGGTATGGCTTTTCATTGATGATTTATGCGAATCCGAACGTTTACGGTCCATTGATTTAGGCTGACAGGGTGCGGGAATAAAATGAGATTGTAGAATCAAATTTAATCATACAATACACAATGAAATAGTCGAATTTTGGTGGAGATACTAGTGCTAGCGAAATAGAAACTGAGCTGATTGTAGTTTTATTAAAAACAGCTACGTTTTACCTGAGTGAAATGACTGATTTGTCTTCAACTGTTTGAAAAGTCGGATGATCAAATGAATGACATGCTATTGCTGTTTGGTGCAGTCTCGATAGCCTTTCGAGACGACAGTATTTCCCTATGGCCCTGGATGGAGTCTTCTAAGCTTGCCTCTGACGAGCGGATATAATCCGATCGAAATAAGGAAATCAGAGAATTCAGGTGTTTGCACATTTTGTTTGAAGCTCTTCTGTTTGGTTCTGATAAACGAGTGAAATAGCAATGAGAAGGAATATTCATATTATATGCTTCCATTTTAGGAGCTTTGCAACAATGTCTGAACAGTTTCAGACAAACAATGATGCTAGTAGGATCGAGTTCAGTGCGCCAAAGATAAATGGTTTGTGGCGATTCATGTGCATTTCTAGCTGTGCGTGTTACACGGGACCGAATGCAACGATTGTCACAATATGGTTCGCAGGGAATTGTTTAGTTTCGCTCCGTTATTATACCATTCAGAAAATTGTCAGTGTCATCCTGTCGATAGAAAGGAGCCCGAACTACGTTCCACAGAATCCTCACAACAAAAGTATTCCACAAGATGTTTCATGCTATAGCTGGGCGTCCGGGACACTCAAAAGTAAATTGTGCAGCAAAGAAATCATCGTGTTGTGCTGATCTCATTTCCATTTACCACGTTGTTCATCCGAATGGACACCCAATGCAATTGCACAATAGCCCAAACAAAGGTCTTCAACCAATTGACTGGATTTCCATTCATTCCATTCTATCCATCCACTCATCGGGCGACATGCAACCGGTTCTGTGTTGTCCGGATTACCGACCACCGACCAGTATGTGAGCAAGAAGACACCGCATGTGGGCTGTGCAAACAAATTCGGATCACGTTCGGTGCAAAAAGTGATCGGTTAAGAGAAAAGCGAGTACATAGACAGGGAAGAGGGAGAGAACTCGAACTGTACGGGGGTCAAAGGTCATGAAAACCCCAACCGGACTGGGCATATGGGGGCAGAGAGTTTAAGCACTACAGTGTGTGTGTGTGTGTGTGTGTGTGTGTGTGTATGTGAGGGGGATACGAATTCAGACTCACCTCGGCAGGGTGAAGCCAGTCATGAGTTGGACTTGTTTGTACAAAGATCGATTTTGTAACGTCAACCAGCGTATGCTTCGGTGAACCGCAGTGAACGACTACTGCTCTGATAAATTGGGACCAGAAACGCGGTTTTAAGGCTATTGCATTCGCATCTATAGTAGATGAACTAGACCCGTCAGTCTTTCAACCAGACGTGACTTAAATGTATGTACACAGCTGATGAGGGTACCACGAATTCAACATATCCTTAGATCATGATAATGTTTCATGCAAATATTGAATGAAACTGGTTGCATGGTTGCATCCCTGTGTATTTTTGATGCATTCCATGACTGAACCCGTTCGGCTGGTGCCCCGCTGTCTTTGATCCATCCGATTCGTGTGCCCACACATGGACACGAGCACACATAATCCGGATTGCCCTGACTCGTTCACAGGCACGTAACGGAGCCACCAGTAGGTCACAGACATGATCACCATCATGTGCTAGTGCTGAGATGAGCAGGGTCTTTGGCCCACAGCAAGCTCGCAAAGATGGGTTGTGCTATATCGTGTCAACGGAAATTGAAATACGGTCTGATCAGCTGCTCGGTGGCGTAGTGGGTAGCATGCTTGCGTTCTGCCCATGAAGTCCCGGGTTCGATCCCCAGTTGGGCCGATGGATTCGCACTGATGATGAGACCCAACCAGTTCGAAACAGCTGCCCAGTGCTTCCCAGCTTTTCAGCTAACGCCTCATTTGCCATAGACACGACGAATTCCCATTTGAAATGATCACCATTAGTTACCCAATGTAGACACACGCTCACACGTACATGTCTAACCCGGACAGTTGCTCACGCATGTCCTTGATCAACTTACATGTTCGCATGCACCCTACGGACACAGTCTCGTCATTGCTAACTTCGTAACCGTTCTCAGTCTGACCCCCTACCCCCTTAAAATTTGGTTGACTAGACTTGTTTACTATGGTCCCTGATGCTGATGTGTGTATAGG